GAAAATCACCCCAACAAACCCGGATCTACCTCTTCCCCCCCCAAAGTCAAGCAACACCAAAGGGTCCAACCCCCTTTCCCCCCGAAAGTCCAAAAAAAAAACCCCGGAAATTTCCCCCTTTCCCCCCGAAAATCCCAGCAACAACCCCGGACTACCCCTTCCCCTCCCCCCGGGCAGTTCCCCCCGCCAAAAAACCACGGATCTAATCTTCCCCAAAGAAAGTACCGCAACCCAAACCCCGGGCTACTCTTTCCCCCCGAAAGTCCAGCAACAAAACCCCGGGTTTTACCTTTTTCCCCACAAATTTACAAACAACCCAAACCCCGGGTCTTTCCTCTTTCCCCCCGAAAGCACAGCAACAAACCCGGATCTAACCCCCCCCACGAAAAATCACAACAACAACCAAAGGAACTACCCCTGCCCCACGAAAATTTACAGCAAAAACCACGGGTCTACCCCTTCCCCCCGAAGTCCCCAGCAACAACCACGGATCTACCTCTTCCCCACGAAAGTACAGCAACAAACCAGGATCTTTCCTTCCCTTTCCCCAAAGCACAGCAACAAACCCCGGATTACCCCTTCCCCCGGAAAAATACAGCAACAACCACGGGTCACCTCTTCCCCACGAAAGCAAAAGCCCAAAAACCCCGGACTACCCTTCCCAAAAAAAATTTTTTTCCCCCCCGAAAGTCCAGCAACAACCCGGAAACACCCCTTTTCCCCCCGAAAGTAAAAGAACAACACGGTTACCTCTTCCCCACGAAAGTCACAGCAACAACCCCCCGGATCTTTTACCCCTTTCCCCCCGAAAATCACAACAACAACCACGGAATACCTCTCCCCACGAAAAATACAGCAAAAAAACCCGGATTTTACCCCTTCCCCCCCGAAAGTCCCCAGCAAAAAAACGGGCTACCTCTCCCCCCAAAAATCCCCAGCCCAAAAACCACGGGTTACCTCTTCCCACGAAAGTCACAGGCAACAACCAAGGATTTCCCCTTCCCCACGAAAAACCCCAGCAAAACCAGGGTCTACCTCTTCCCCCGAAAAATCACAAACAACAACCAGGTTCTACCTCTTCCCCAAAGTCACACAAAAACCCGGGGTCACCCTCTTCCCCCCGAAAAACACAGCAACAACCACGGATTTCCTCCTTTCCCCACGAAAGTCACAGCAACCCAAACCCCGGAACCCCCTTTCCCCACGAAAGTCACAGCAAAAAACCCCCGGATTTTACCTCCTTTCCCCCCGAAATCACAGCAACAACCACGGATCTACCCCTTTCCCAAAGAAAAATCAAGCAACAACCCCGGATCTCCCCCTTCCCCCCGAAAGTCCCCAGCAACCCAAACCCCGGATCACCCCTTTCCCCCGAAAAGGGCACAGCAACACCACGGATCTACCCCTTCCCCACGAAAATCACAGCAACAACCCCGGTCTACCTCCTTTCCCCCCCGGGAAAAATCACAGCAACAAAACGGATCAAACCCCTTCCCCCCAAAGCACCGCAACAAACCAGGTCTACCCATCCCCCCCGAAAAAAACAAAAGCAACAACCCGGATCTACCTCATTTCCCCCGAAAGTCAAAAGCAACAACCCCGGCTCTCCTCATCCCCCGAAAGTCACGGGAAAAAACCACGGGTCTACCTCATCCCCCGGAAAAATCACAGCAACAACCCCGGTTACCTTTCCCCCCGAAAATCACCCCCAACAACCACGGAAACTACCTTTTTCCCCCCGAAAATCACAGCAACAACCCGTTACCATCCCCACGAAAGGTTTAAGCAACAACCCCCGGATCTACCCCTTCCCCTTTAAAAGAAAAAATAAGATTAACCACTTTATTCCCAAAAATTTTTGGAATAAGGGGCCCCTTGGGGCCAAAATTTTTTTCAAGGTTGTTCCAAGTCCCGCGGGACAATGTTTTTTCCAGTCCGCGGGACCCAAAGTTGTTCCCCCCGTCCCGCGGTACAATGTTGTTCCCGTCCCCCGGGACAATTTTTCCACGTCCCCCGGGACAAAGTTGTTTTAAAGTCCCCCGGAAAAATGTTGTTTCCCCCCGTCCGCCCCCCGGGGGCAACGTCGCACAACGAGACCAAAAGAAAGGGCAGGAAAGGGTCAGTTTTAAGGACGCGAATTTTCTCCAAAAGAGGCCGCGTGAGCAAAGGTTTTATGGTTTTCCAATGCCCCTTCCTTTTAAAGGGTTTAAAGGGGGTGTAAAATGGTGTCATAGAATGTGATTTGGCCCCTGAAGGACGCTTTTTATGGGCTTCTGCATTCTGAAGGAAGGGGGTTTGGCTCTCTCTCTCTCTTTTCCCTCCTCCCCCTCTTCCCCCCCCCTCTCCTCTCTCCCCCTCCGCCCAAAAACCATCATTATTCTTCGAAATACCATGCCCAAAAGGGGGTATGATCCCCAAAAATCATCATTGATGATACTGGAGATTGCGACACTTTTAAAAGGTTTTTGTGTGTGGTGTGTGTGGGTGTGTGTGTGTGTGTGTGTGGTGTGTTGTGTGTTGGTGTGTGTGTGTGTGTGGGGCAGAAAAATATAACTCACATACCAGCTCAGGTTTTAATTTCCCCAAATTATAAATTATTCTGTTTATCGTAATTTAAATTTTTTTTATTACTCTGGAAAATGTCTTCGACATTTTTAAATTTGTTCATGGTTAATTTCCAAAAATAGACAATTTAAGGTTTTTTAAGACGATCTAATGCTGCATTTCACCTGTGCATCATCAATAGGGGTTAAAGTCAACTCTCAGTGTATATACATTGAGAGATATACACACCTTTCTGTGTATAGTATATACACTGACAGATACATACCTCTCTGTATATACACTGAAAGATACACATCTCTGTGTATAGTATATAAATTGACAGATACACACCTCTCAGTGTATATACACTGAGAGATATACACACCTTTCTGTGTATAGTATATACACTGACAGATATATACCTCTCTGTGTATATTAAAGAGATACACACCTTTCTATTTATATATACACACTGGTAGTTTACATTAATTACTATTTTAGGTATTAAAGTATTCTTGACTGGTGGTGAACAGGCGACATGCAGCCTTGATGACCTTCGTGTAGTAGATAGACTTGAAACTTCCCATACCCTGACGTCATCCAGTACCTACCAGTACACAGGTGACAGTGTCACTCTCAGCGTGAAGGATAGTGTGGATAGTAAATGACCTGTGGATAGTCTATCCACTCTAGTGGATAATCTATTCTGTAACGTCTCTCCATTCAGATGAACCAAATAAATCGGAATAAATAACCGTGGATATTACCCATGGATAGAGTGTTCTAATGGATAATCTATCCACATTAAATCAGAATAAATAACCGTGGATATTACCCATGGATAGAGTGTTCTAATGGATAATCTATCCACTTTAGCGGATAATGCATCCATTCTAGTGGATAATCTATTCTATAACATTTATTGACTCAGTGGATAATTTATCCGCTCTAGTCGCATTGGTCATATTGAGATTGGAGAATAGGGAGTAATCAGGCTTGATCCGAGGAAAGGAGCAGCAGCCTCTCAACTCTTAAAGTTGAGGAGATTTCAATTCCATTAAGAAGCGATCCAATACCCTATATTATTATTATTTTATTATTATTATTATTATTATTATTATTATTATTATTATTTTGTTATTGAAAGTCTACTAGGTTCGAAAGTAGATATGTTAGGTTAATTCACGTCTGTCTATCGATGGTTAAGAGACTGGACCGAGAGCTAGAGCTCATCTTCTTTAATTAGAACGTTTAATTAGGACTGTTTATAGTGGACTGTCTGGAAATTGTAAAGATGATTCTTTCTTAACACTCTCTCTTTCTCTTTCTTTGTACACTCTCTAAACACACAGAGACACTCTCTCTCTCTCTCTCTCTCTCTCTCTCTCTCTCTCTCTCTCTGTACACATTCTCCCTCTACGCACATACACACTCTCCCTCTGTACACTCTCTCTCTACCTCCGTACACACACACACACTCTCTCTCTCTCTCTCTCTCTCTCTCTGTACACACTCTCCCTCTACACACACACACACTCTCCCTCTGTACACTCTCTCTCTACCTCCGTACACACACACACACACTCTCTCTCTCTCTCTCTCTGTACACACTCTCCCTCTACACACACACACACTCTCCCTCTGTACACTCTCTACCTCCGTACACACACATACACTCTCTCTCCCTCTGTACACTCTCTCTCTCCCTCTGTACACACACACACATACACACACTCTCTCTCTCTCTCTCTCTCTCTCTGTACACACTCTCCCTCTGTACACACACACACACACACACACACTCTCTCTCTCTCTCTGTATTCTCTCTCTCTCTCTCTCTCTCTCTCTCTCTCTCTCTCTCTCTCTCTGTACACAATTTCTCTCTCTGTACAATCTCTCCCTCTGTACATTCTCTCTCCCTCTTTACATACACACACTCTCTCTTTCTCTCTCTCTGTACTCTCTCTCTCTCTCTCTGTACACTCTCTCCCTCTGTACACACACTCCCTCTGTACACACACTCACTCTATACACACACTCACTCTGTACACACACTCACTCTGTACACACACTCACTCTGTACACACACACACTCTGTACACACACTCACTCTGTACACACACTCACTCTACTCACACACACTCACTCTACTCACACACACAGGAAATAACACTATTTCCTGCCTGGAATCGGAACTGTTTTAAAACCTTCAGATGTGAACTAATTTGCCAGGGAAAGAAAGGCATTAGGATGAGGAGGAGAAATGGGAGCGTGTATGGTGGGTGTATGGTAGGTGAAGGAGGATAATAGGACCCACGCGTGCCCTGGGGCGTGTGACCAGTGGGCAGGGATGAAAGGTGCCCAGGACTCGTTCTAATTGTGGCCATTGTGGGAGGAAGGTAGCGCTGAGACGCAGGTATGGGGGGATGGGGAGGAGGCACGAGATGGGGCATGGGTAGGGGATGGGGCTTGGGGAGTGACTGGGGATGGGTTCTTGGGGTGGGGCTCATTAGCCCCGCCTTCACACACCTGCCCAGGTATAAAGGCTGCCTCGTGCGCCGCCCCGCTAGTTCATACCCCACTCTCTGTAGCGCAGCATCCCGCTCGCTGTGTCTCTGGTCTCGTGGGCAACACGCTGTGTGAGGCATCACGCGAGAGAGAGAACTGTGTCGCGTAGAGACGTGAGCCGCCCTCACGCGCGATGGACGACGCTAGTGCTGTGTACCAGCAGATGGTGCACGCCTTCGCTGACGCCTACACCACCGCCCTCTTCACCGCCCGCCCGCCCACTCCTGACAGTGACTACGGCTCTCTCAGCCCTGCTTCCTCACCTCCTCCAAGTCCCACTCGACTGTGCCCCTCGACTCTAGCTCCTGCCCACTCACCCACCGACGCCTGGGCACCATTCACCATGGCCCAGCAGGCTGCCCACCAAACCACAACTAGTGCCACTTTCGTCACCTATCCCGAGTACGCCCAGCTGTACACTGTAGCAGGAGCCACTGCTCAAATCACCAAGCAGGCACCGTCCTCCAAGAACCCGTCTTCATGTCTGCAGAGACCTTCCAGCACTACTCAACATCACATCAAAACTGAGAGCTACAGAGTAAGCTATCCATCAGGCAGGAATATCACGTCAACAAAGGTGCCTTCTGTGTCTCCTCTGATCTCCATCGAGAATAAAAGGGAGCAGCAACGGCTGGGAGGCCCTCCCCTGCAGCAGAACCTGTGTAAGACACCCAAGGCCCCTCGTGGGAGCAGCCGCAGTGGCGTCAGGAAGCAGCGGACGGGACGCGAGGTGACGGATGGCGTTAGGAAGAAGAGAAGGCTGGCGGCCAACGCCCGCGAGCGACGCAGGATGGACAATCTCAACAAAGCCTTTGACCGTCTCCGCTCCGTTCTACCGCAGCTCTGCGACGACCGCAAGCTCTCCAAGTACGACACGCTACAGATGGCGCAGACTTACATTACTACGCTGGCCGACCTCTTGATATAGCCCTCGTTGGCCCGCCAGGTCTGGTGATGTAGCCTGTCAGGGGCATTTCAGGACTACCCATGTAGTCTACGTCAAGTCGTCCAGGGACTGCCCACGTAGCCTTTAACCGGTCCTCTCCCTACCACTTCACGAAGCCTGTAATTAGTCGTGTAGATGCGCCGGGTAACCTGGGGGCCGACCTGCAGAACTGCTCAGAGTGCCTTCAAGGGACGGCTACAGTTAGGCCCCTGTGTTAACTACTCACAGAGGGGTAGATCTCACCTGAGTGGCTTAGTGCGAAGTGTTGCTTCCTCTAGTGATCTCTAGTTGCGTGACAGGAACCACAAAACCATCCGTACTTTGAAGTTTTCCGCTCCTCGAGCCGGGGACTGGACCATCCACGACGGGAATCCTGAGTGCTCCTTCATACTTCACTGTTCAACGCCACGCTCCAACGTAGCAACGGTTGACACTGAGGTCCAGTGGTGGCACTGAAGCCGTCGAATGGTTTCTACTCGAGCGATAAAGTAACTCCTGCGAGTCTCGACGACAGAACTTTAAGTTACGTTCCTCCCAGAGGACAATACAGCGCTAAGACCTGGAAAGTTTTCACTGATGACTTCGTCAAGTGGGAAACTGAGGAAGAACCAACCCCGACGACAGGACCTTCAAGCACTGGCTGTGGATCCCGAAGAAGTTATCACCAAGAGAGAGAGAGAGAGAACACATAGCCCTCTTTCATTCCTCCGTCTCTCCCGTTACAAAAGCGTCATGGGAGCAGCACCAGAGGGCCCCCTGCTACGAAGCCTAGCACAGATCAGCCTCCAGAGCTCCTTGGAGCATGGAGCGCTACCCTCACTATTGATCTCCAAGTCTCGGCCGCATCTGTGTGAGCCGACGACAACGCTTACCACAAACACTTTAGTTTAGTCTCCCACTCGTGCGTGCAAGCACGACGGACGGAGGCAGCGCTGGACTGCGTTTCTCTATACACTGTTACCGTGTGTGGCATTCAAGAGCCTGGTGGAGGTTCAGTCCTTCGTCAGTGTTCCAGTGACTGTGAATCAAAACAGACTCGGCATTACGAACCATAAACAAACGACATTTAATACCGAACGAAGAATGTTCTCAATGTTGATGCAAATGTTATGGAGCCCAACTCGGTGTTGTTAATGTTCGAAACATTAAAAGAGGTGCAGAAGCACTCAGTCTTGTACAAATAGCGTGCATTCAGCGCTTACCCGTGTTCTCATTATGAGGAACATTCTCACCACATTCTATCTTTCACATTAAGTGAGAGAGAGTGCCAAAATGTTGCCCATCAATCACCCTTCCCTCCCACCGATGGTTGTTCCTCAATTGACGATTCAGTTGTTAGTTGACTCTGAATCAAGGACAGTATCTCAATCATGTAAATAATAAAGAAGTGTGTCTAGTCAATTATTTTCTTATGTACAGTTTTATTATTGGTAATAAAGTAT